TTAGTTTGGGAGATATTACTTGATAATTGAATTTGGAGATTGGTCGTGAGACCGGCTACAAGTCCGGCCGTAAATTCGCCCGAGACGTCCTAGGTTTCTAGTGCTGAAACAGTTAAAACAGCTGAAAAACACAGTGGTTCACTAAATGGGTTTCTATTTGTGAAATGCACATTTTTGTTTAGCCTTTCTCTTTTAAAATTGCAGCGTACTAAATTTCAAGAAAGAGGCGTATGTCTGTGGGGGGCGATAGAAATTCACTAGGGAGCCAAAGGGGGCGCCAGCCTGAAAAAGTTTGGGAACCACTGATATAGAATATAGATGAAGGTGCAATTTGTATTCATAAAAAGGTTATCCATAAATCTTTGGAATGTAGCTCCAGCGTTTCGTAGTCCGAAAGACATGTACAGATACTCGAATAGTCCAAATGGAGTGGCAACGGCAGTTTTTTTCTACGTCTTCTTCCTTGACCGGGATTTGATGATAAGCGGCGAGCAGATCTATTTTTGAGAACACTTTCATTCCGTGTAATTTACTGGCGACGCTGTTCACGTGTGGGATGGGATATCTGTCCGGCTTGGTGATGGAATTTAATACTCTATAGTCTCCACATGCTCGCCACGTACCGGGTGTTGGCTTGGGCACTAAATGTAACGGTGAAGATCACGGACTCTCAGACTGTCTGATTATTCCTGCCTGTAGCAATTTAGAAAATTCGGTTTTGGCAGCTTCAAATTTCTCCGCCGATAGCTGACGAACTTTGGCAAAAGTTGGCCTTGCTTCAGCTGTCTCTATGGAATGAAACACTTTGGATGTAACTGCGGGTGATGTTGGAGATTTAGGAGATAATACAGAGGGAAACTTTTCAAGTAATTTGCGTGCCTCAGGCGGAAAGTTTTCTTTATTATTTATCACTACTTGGATTACGTTCCCTTGAACACTTCTGGCAGGCGAGTACTGGTTCGTCAAACAATCAAGTAGCCTCTTCCTGCCACAATCTACAATTAGGTTGAACTTGTGGAGAAAATCCACTCCGAGCAAAGCGTGCGTTGTGTTTGCTATGACGAAGGTCCATGAAAACGTGCGCCGCAGTGCAGGAATCCTGATATCCACAGTTGATTCGCCGCTGCATTCTATAGCTTGACCACCTGCTGAGGTGATTTTTACTGCGGTTGGACTTATTATTAATCCCCTCGAGTATTTGAGTGGCAAAATGGAGACTGAAGCTCCCGTGTCGATGATCATACTTATTTGTAGTTTTGAATCGCCTATCCATGCGGATATTTCTAATAATGGCGGGTCGGATATGGCCAGGGCGACCCGCCCTTCTAGTTTCCCACATTCTTGGCCTGGCTTGGTGAGCTTGCTCTTGAGCTAGTCTGAATTGTGCAATTTTTCTTGTCTGGCCAGCGGCACCATGGTTTGCACGTTCGGGCTTTTTCTGCGAAATACAAATGAGCTCTGCATACTTTTGGCAGTTGATCTGGGCTAAAAGGGCGTGTTGGAGACACAGATCCGTTGTTTCTTTGACGAGGTTGCCGGGGCTGGGAGTTACTGACTTGTAGCGTCACTTCCCCTTGGTTATAATCGAGAGAGAGTGTAGTCTGGGAGGCAAGTACCACCGAGATTGAACTAGGCAATGCTTGTAGAAATTGGTGTTTAATCAGATCTTGTCCAACCCCGATCTTCGAGGCAATTAAGTGCTCTCGTAAGTAAAATGATGGTCTGCCAGTGATGGTAGTACGCTTTAATAGTTTGGAAAACAATTCTGGTTTGGTCTTATCATGAATGATGATCACGGCTCCTTTTAACTGCTCATAATCTTCTGCCGCCAGTAGTTTGGGCGACAGTTTTGGTATTAAATCTGCTTGTAGTGCTGCGACAACGTGATAAAATTTAGTTTCGCTACTAGTTATCTTCTTGATTTTGAACTGGGCCTCCAACACAGTAAACCAGCCCGACGCTGCTTGTTCCATGAATGCGGGTACTTTTATAGACACGGCATGTAGTTCTTCTGAATTTGCCATTGTTTGCCATTATAACTGCTCTAATAACTTTTATTGGGTCCAATGCAGATCTCCGAGAGCACAATAGAATCTCGGAGGCGGAGTCCACATTTAGTGCTGAAATGAGGAATGACCGGTTTAATTGCAAAGAACCATTGAGCCGATCATTCGTAAGTGAACAATTATATTCAATATCTCCAATATGAACGGCAATAATTGAGCATGGCAATATCCACAAATCGTACCTCGAAACCTAACCGACAACAGGCACTGGATAATATCTAAATAGGACGAGGGGCCAGTCACAACTAGACGGGTAGGCATCTGTTGCATCCACGGTAAGACAGGAACTTAATTATACTGAAAGTGATAGAACCAAAGCTATTAGAATCTATATCAAGAGACAATAGAAAGTATGATCAATATGCGCAGATTTTAAGGTATCTCAATGATAATTGGCGCTAATACACACCTTCTAAAATATTGCCGTAGGCGGTATTCAGAAGTGGCTTAATGGCCTATTAGTGACGTTCAAGTTAATAAGTTAGGTTAATAAGTAAAGGTCGGCCCAACCTCAAGAAGATAGAAGTTAGTTCCGTTCGCACCCGTTTTACCGTTTTATATGCAAAGGAGATGAGTTAAAATTATAACAAAAATCGTCGCGACTGCGCAATAAGCATGTGAAACCATGTATTGAATTTCATAATTATTGGTTACGAATTGAGGGAATAAAACGTGGCTACGGGACGGAATTGGCCCGTTTGCACCCGTTTTACCGTTTCATATGCAAAGGAGATGAGTTAAAATTATAACAAAAATCATCGCGACTGCGCAATAAGCATGTGAAACCATGTATTAAATTTCATAATTATTGATTACGAATTGAGGGAATAAAACGTGGCTACGGGACGGAATTTGCCCGTTTACACCCGTTTTACCGTTTTATTTGCAAAGGAGATGGGCTAAAATTATTAAAAAAATCGTCGCGACTGCGCAATAAGCATGTGAAACCATATATCAAATTTCATAATTATTGGTTACGAATTGAGGTCATAAAACGACCGAATCGACACTTCAGCGAACTCGCCTGCGAGCTCGCATGCAAAACCTAACTTAATTTTCAACTGTGGCACGCATAACGCTGAAGTGTCGATTCGGTCATAAAACGTGGCTAAAGGGAGAGCTGGTATAGGGCAGGTTCAGGGCCGGGCTGGCCCACGCTGTAACCCACGCTAACGCCCACGCGCTTTTGTCCGACCGGTACTATTAACTGAGTACACATACACTGTAAGTACAATAAGATACGTAATTAAGATTTTTTAATTGACGGACCAGTGAATCTATGTCAATAAAGAGATAAAATCGGTCAATGAAAGTTAGGAAGTATTATTTCCATATTTCGATGTTTGTGGATGGATATAATTTCTCCATTTCTTTACTTATTTTCTCTAATTCTCAAGACTCTGTCTCTGTAAAAAGAGCTTTTTACTTGCCAGAAGCAAGGTGCCTCTCTATATAAATCGATAAGCCTTTCAGTGACATCTCTGCTCCAGTCTCCGTCGTGCGACACGGTCAGTTAAGCAAAGAGGCAGGCAATTGTGCGTCTATTGGAGCGCCCGCCCAGCACACAACCTCCTTGAACGAAAGAAAAGCCAGTTTTTCAATCGTCAGTCTCGCAGAGTCTCATAGTGGAAACGGGCCTTAACTGACGATTGATTGAGATAGCTGCTGGACTTATTACCTGGTCCATAATTTGCTTGGCATTTTGAGACTGAACATATGCTCCTGCATAGCTTCGTCTAGTCTGTTTTTAAAGGCGTTCACACTCGGAGTCGGAGCGTCAACGATGCTATCAGGGAGGCTGTGCTACAGTTTGGTGACTCGAAGCGTGAAAAAATGATGTCGCGTGGAGAAGTTGCAGCGCAGTTTTTTTTTAGTTTCTAGCCGTGGCCCCTGGTTTTGGTTCTTGTTTCAAATTCTAGTAATCTTTCTGGGACCTTGTACAAGCCATGCGTATACTTGTATGTTGTATGCTTCAATGAGGTCCCCACGCAGACGTCGATAACTGAGGCTTGGAAGCTTCATAATCTTTCCTCAGAGGACTTGCCTTTCAAGCCCTGAACTATCCTTGTTGCGCGTCTTTGAACACTCTCTCTGAAGTTTTTGTCCTTTTCAAATTTCGGTGACCACACGACGTTCCCAAACTCTAGGTTCGTTCGAGCATTGTGGCGTGTGACATTGACGGTAGGTAAAACAATTAATACTGTGGCGCATTTAAAAGTAACTACACATTTTCACATTTATTAGTAGTCATTATTATTATATTTTATTATTTTCACATTTTTAAATACTACTATTTCTTTTGTTGCAGAATTTATTACTGTCAGCAGAACTATGGAACCCGGCCCAGATACCGTGAGTGAAAAAATGTTTTTTTATTCTCACATAATATTATAAGTAATTTTTTTTATTGAGAGGCGTGGAGTCTAAAAGTAGTTTACCAAGTATGTAACCACATGATGGCTGGCTAGGCTTGCCTACGACTGACTGAATATCACCACCACCACCCACACCACCACACCACCACCACCCCCACTCACTCACTCGCACCACCACCACCACTCACTCACTCACACCACCACTCACACGCACTCACTCACAAACACTCACTCACACCACCACTCACACGCACTCACTCACAAACACTCACTCACACCACCACCACCACTCACAAACACTCACACCACCACCACTCACTCACGCACACTCACTCACACCACCACTCACTCACACCACCACTCACTCACACCACCACTCACTCACACCACCACTCACTCACACCACCACTCACTCACACCACCACTCACTCACAACCACTCACTCACACCACCACTCACTCACACCACCGCCACCACCACTCACTCACTCTTTCACTTACTCACACCACCACCACCACTCATTCACCAAACCACCACCACTCACACCACAACCACCACTTTTTAAACATGATAGCTAACAAAAGGTATTTTACATTATTTCAGATGAATTTCTATTTACGAGAATTTCATCGGCACCGCACAGTTTCCAAGCTCAAGATGGCGTCTTGGTGGCACGAACCCGAGAAACCAGCATTAACGCCTATAGCCGTCTTTAAAAAGGAGCAAGAAGACTTGGGGGTCTTCAAAAGCGAAAAAAGGCTAAGTCCAACGTTCCGTCGTCTATCCGATGAAGAAAAGGACCGACTCGTGGCAAGAGCCCAAGAGAACCTAGCAAACTATGAAAATTTCATTTTGGCATATGTAAATTCTATGAGAGACTTTGAAAAGAAGGTCTACGTGGGCTTCAAGAGAGAAGACTTACTAAGAATCTTCGAGCGTGACATCTTCGAAGCATACCCTCTTGAAGATTACCCAATTCTGAAGTAGATATTGGGTCTTCTAGTTACTTTTGTATTGATTTTTGTTCATTAGTGTCTTTCGCTATTTGCTGAAAAGTACAGTTTTGTTCTCTTGAAGAGGAGTAGAACGGAAACAATATTTTGAGTTTTAATTACTCCTACTTCTTAGACCCGTAGAGGATACAAGTTTTATTACAAATAAATAAAGATATCTTATTAACTATTACAATATGACAGTTTGCTAACAATCGCATTTCAACAAGTGGAAATAACGGAACTCACCTCAGATGAGGTCTATACCGAATTTATCGGGGAATTTTCCTATCAATAAACAGAATCTGCAACAAAAAAGAAGAAATAACTATCACAATAATCAACTGCAAAAACAACATTGAAAGAACGCTACTACTAGGAGGCGGCCTTACGTCCGACCTCGGTGACGACTGGTCTTACAATCTCGGTCTAGATAGCGGTTCTCTGATTTCAAGTGTGATGCAGTGTTGCCTGTTGCCAGTGTTGCCACTTGGGCACCACAAGACATCCCCATCCAATAGCGGAGCTAGTCTTAACTATCCACGTAATAATACATTCGGCTAATATATAATACGCAAACATTCTGTTTTAATAGTAGATGAAGTCATCGTTAGCCCTAAAGGTTATTTTCCTACCACTGCGAGTAGTTTTATAATCCTTATCATTGACCCTAGCGCCATCCGAACAAACAGAAGTCTTACAATTAGTTTCCTTATTCGTAGATGCTGTGTCAATTTTGGTTGTATTTGTGTGTATTACAGGTTTATTTGGACAAATTTTATTATCTTGAGCCATATGAGCTGGTTTCAAACGGTCAATAGTAACAGTTTTGACGTTCCCTGCGTTGTCTTCTATACTAAAATACTTGGGATGCCTCGCAACGACCCTGAATGGTCCCTGATATGGAGCTTCCAGAGGACGGCGAACGCGATCGACTCGTACCCAGACATGGCTGCATTCCTTCATTTCTTTCGGAACGTGTTCTTTCATTGTCGAGTGTAGTCCTTGCGATAATTCGTCGAAATTAATTTTGGACATTTGTTCGGCTAATCTCTGAACAGACTGACTTGTGAAACTCTGGTCGTGTTCGTTGAGCATTGGTCTTGGAAATAGAATGTAGGTTCCCGTTACGGCTGCCGAAGGGAAAAAACCAGCACATCAGGGACAATCATGCCGCAACAGTCCCTTTTCACACATATAATTTCAACATTACCTGCATACAAACAGCTCAATATAATAATATAAATCACATCAATAACACACCTAGTCAATTCGATCACCAGCGCACTCTTTTCACATCATAACCAATTCACTCACCACAAACAACTCCATCATTCCAGTTGCGTCTGAATGAACTTATTGTAAGTTTGAGCAAGGGATTACAACTAAATCTGAATATCTATAGCTTCAAAATTCGCCGGTTATTTCAAGGAACGAAAATTACACACGTTCTTTCGCCACGAACGCAACTGACTTTCTCCACAAATGTAATGTCCACTTGTGCTTTGAACGATCTCGCAACTGCTTCAAAAAATTTCACCAAGAATAAATGCTTTTGAACATGTATTTAGATAAATGTAGGTTGTGAAGTATTCTGCTGTATTTTTTAAGTTTTAGCGGGTTTTATTTTATTCTATCCAATTGATTCTATTCATTTGCCCAAGTGTATTTTGAAAGCCAGTATAGATTTTTCTTTCAGGAGCCCAAGTGGATCTTAAAGTCGCGTTTATGTATCTATATACATACAAATATATTTGGTGATTTCTTCTTATATTGCCTTCCCTTGAGTCAGAAACAACATAAATTCATGATCAAAACATTTACTCATTGCATAAAAATAATTCAGGCGGTAAAGGGTTAATACTGCTTAAGGTTTAATACTGCTTGAATATATTAAAATGCATTTCAAACAATTAATTTGTAATTATTTTTAAGATTTCAAATCAACATGACGAAAATTCGTTGAGCGAAACGAATTTTTTAATTCTGCTGTATGAACTGCTTTTGTTTTGGGCGATACTTTATTGGCGCGAAAATGTTTTCCCTTGGGTCAGAGTGAGGTGAAACGTGGTGAAAAGAGGTACGTATCGCTTGTGCTCCTGCTTTTAATGATGTAGAACTTTATTTTATAATCTATACTGTCGAGTAGTAAGTAGCTCAAGGCCGTGGTCGAGAGCGGACGCTCTTGTTTTGTGGTCCCAGATTTTTAACTTTTATAATAGAAGTGTCGGCATTGAAGAAAGAGGCCCATGGCCTGTTGCCGATTCTTGAATTTTTCTTGACGTGATTCAGGAAGGATCCGGCCTTTGGAACCCGATCTTTCTATAAAGGCCCGTTTCCACTACGGGACTGATTCTGAAGGATTGAGATTGGCCTCAATGGCCTGAGACCAATAAGCCACATGGCTGGACTTGAAACGTTTCCACTACGTGCGTGTGCTGGGATTGAGACTGACGGTCTGGGCTACCGCACTCGCTGGCTTTTGAAAATAGATTATGCTGCCGCTCTTGCTTTACTAGCTATTGTCACTATGCGCAGGAGGAAACAAAGATCTATTTACCTAATAGCAGTTATGAAACGCAAGAATGGTTTCAAAATTCTCATTAATATAGTTTATCCGTGTAATAACATGCATTCACCAAGGGATTAAGAAACAGCATTATCTTATAATACCTTCAATGTGTCGAGAAAATTAAATGTAATAAATACGTCACAATGTTTAACAATGTCTGGTTTTTGGTCTATAGATTTAGATAGGTATCATAGCGTGCTTCACAAATGCTACTACTATTATTGGTTAATGTGTTTATTTACTATTAACACCGGTCGGACAAAAGCGCGTGGGCGTTAGCGTGGGTTACAGCGTGGGCCAGCCCGGCCTTAACCTGCCCTATACCAGCTCTCCCTTTAGCCACGTTTTATTACCTCAATTCGTAACCAATAATTATGAAATTTGATATATGGTTTCACATGCTTATTGCGCAGTCGCGACGATTTTTTTTATAATTTTAACTTATCTCCTTTGCAAATAAAACGGTAAAACGGGTGCAAACGGGCAAATTCCGTCCCGTAGCCACGTTTTATTACCTCAATTCGTAACCAATAATTATGAAATTTATTATATGGTTTCACATGCTTATTGCGCAGTCGCGACGATTTTTTTTTATAATTTTAACTCATCTCCTTTGCAAATAAAACGGTAAAACGGGTGCAAACGGGCAAATTCCGTCACGTAGCCACGTTTTATTACCTCAATTCGTAACCAATAATTATGAAATTTAATACATAGTTTCACATGCTTATTGCGCAGTCGCGACGATTTTTGTTATAATTTTAACTCATCTCCTTTGCACATAAAACGGTTAAACGGGTGCAAACGGGCCAATCCCGTCCCGTAGCCACGTTTTATTCCCTCAATTCGTAACCAATAATTATGAAATTTAATACATGGTTTCACATGCTTCCCACTAGATGGCCAAGACCTAGTGTTTTTGCAGTATTTCAACACGCAAATGTATGACGTCACCATTTCAACCATCAATGAACGCATGGAACTAAAACAAAGCTTAATATAAAGGAAAAGCTGGAGAGGTGACGGAATTACCTACGATGTCGGAATATACCGCGTTTACCCTACGCTAACTTTTGGGTCTATTGGTCCAAAAACACCACACACCCGCACATCTGAGCTTGGCTGGTAACAGCGAACTGTCCACTTTCCGATCACAGATACTGATAGGTAGTTAACAATGTTTTCTCCTGCGAATAACTTCCTTATTCGGAATAAGGAAGACTCCAATGCAACTAGCTGGCGACGTGGTCACGTGGATTGGGACGCACAATCAAATCATCCAGAGACCCAAAAGGTGAGCTTTTGATTCCCTGTGCAAGTCCAATAGGATCTTTGAGAAATGTCACAGCATTTGGACCCTGAGGTCTGATCAGTATTGTTCTTCCACCCCAAGAACTTTGCAGGGTAGCATTGGTTGGGAGCTTGACCGCCTTGACATTTGTCATGCTGGTACTTTGCAGAGCCGCTTTGTTGAATTCTACTGTTTTGCACTGCAGGACGCTTCACGTTTCCCCTCTGAAGGCTCTCACTTGACGAGCTCTTTTCTCTATTTCTGCGCTTTCGGCCAACAATCTGTGCCTCCATAGGAGTTGCTTCAATGAGGGTCACACTTAAAAGCTGAAGTGGCTAAAGACGCTGAAGTGCGGAACATGTGGCGTATAATGGATCGATCGAATGCGGCGGAGAATCGGGCGATTCCGTAATTTGAGAAGCCGACACTGCAATAGCATATCACAATAATATATATAACACTGGTGTCAAAAGAAACGAGACGTAAATCTTGAACCATAGCGTTTGAGGCAGATATACCCGTTCTCTGTTTAAACATGTTAAACAATTAATCACCTTTCATTTCAAGTGAAACCTGACTATCACTTCAGGTTTCACAGGTTTAACGCTTATATCTCAGAAAATATTCAACCCAGAGAGTGCGGAGTGATGAAATAACGTGAATCAATTACTTATTCAATATAAATAATCACTCCGCACTCGACCACAACATTTAGCACTCGCCAATAGTGCTTAGCGCAAAACGACCTTGTACACTTTAACTACTTCAACGCTTATATCTCAGAAAATATTCAACCCAGAGAGTGCGGAGTGATGAAATAACGTGAATCAATTATTTATTCAATATAAATAATCACTCCGCACTTAACCACGACATTTAGCACTCGCCAATAGTGCTTAGCGCAAAACGACCTCGTACGGTTTAACTACTTCAACGCTTATATCTCAGAAAATATTCAACCCTGAGAGTGCGGACTGATGAAATAACGTGAATCGATTACTTATTCACTGTAAATAATCACTCCGCACTCGACCACAACATTTAGCACTCGCCAATAGTGCTTAGCGCAAAACGACCTTGTACGGTTTAACTACTTCAACACTTGTATCTCAGAAAATGTTCAACCCAGAGAGTGCGGAGTGATGAAAGAAGGTGAATCAATTACTTATTCAATATAAATAATCACTCCGCACTCGACCACAACATTTAGCACTCGCCAATAGTGCTTAGCGCAAAACGACCT